TTGTTGTTGTAGTTGTCAACTCAGAAACATGGAAAACAGAGGAATTATCTCCACTTAGGGAAGGAGGGTAGGTATCAGAAGACATGAAGTTTGGATTCTATCTTAAAGGAGTCAGGACTCACCTAATTAAGAGGAGGAGTGGAGCATTCCAAGCAGGAGGAACTACATATTCAGAGCACGAGTAGAAGAGAACAGAAGTCTTGTCTGAATTGTGTATCTCACAGAATCTGAGGTCAAACCCACAGAACCTGATATCTCTTGGCCCACCATAACTGTACTTCTGGAATTCTGACCTTTAAAAAGACACAAGTCACCAGGACAGGTTGTTGACTATAGCAAAACATTACAGTCCATCTAAATGTCTGACAGAATATGTTTAACCTGGCAAGATTCTTATCAACAGTGGTGCAGGAAGTTCTGGGCTGAGTGCACAGCAAGTTAAGCAGTGAAGTATGTAAACAGGGTAGTTTGGACTAGGAGCGGTAAGATTCTGTTGGCTAACATCGCCCCCTAGAGGTTCTCTCGTGCAGCTTCCTGTCAGAATATTTCTATTTCGTATTAATAATTTGAAAGAAGGATCAGCTACTTCCCTTGATTTCAATTATGACTCTAGAATTTTTATATAGGCGACATTTAGTTTTGTCAATTAGTCTGAAAAAGATGATTATGTGAAATTGTCCCGGAATTTACATAGTTTTTATTCAGTTGACACTTTTGAGGAAATCACAAAATATTTATTTTGGAAAACATTAGTGATGGCGGCCACTGTCATCCTAAATAACCATTACCCGAAGAGTGTACTGGAAAGGTCCTGGCCGGCCTTGATGAGCCCATGTGTCACCATCTGGAGTGGTTTATTCACATACAAGGCCTTTTGTTATGGATAACGTTAAGGGATCTCACCCTCCAAAGGACCATGGTGCCAGCCAGGAGGCTGGGAGGCTGGGGATAGAGCATTGTGGAAACAGCTCACAAACCTCCCGTGTTCTGAGAGGATCATGGGGTGTTCTGCCAAGACTTGGATCCGCTGCGAGGTACCCAGCCTACGTGGCCTCTGTGCAGCAATAATACACCCCACTCCTCTGGTAGCTCCAGCACTGATAACTGCCGCCCCTTATTCTCCTACCCCAAGTCAGACCGGGAGTACTAACTATAGTGTAGAGTAGGAATACTTTAAAGAAACATAGAGAGGTACTGTGTAACCTTGTGATCTACGAGGGGAAATCTATTTAATGTACACGGTGATGATTTGTTACATTACTGACACTTGGTTTTGCTGTGAAAATAGTGGCAAAGTGAAGCAGGAGAGCAGAACAGCTCTTTTAGGAGATATCCTCGCTGTTGTACGGAATTGCTGGCTTTTCTGTAAATTATTACCCTCTCCGTTGACTGGCTTGGGTGACAGGCAGGCGAACTCTTGTCCCGCAACGTTAGTATTACTTACTATAACTATAGTTAAATTTAGTCTTAAGTACACTTATTCAAAACACGAACAAGCACACGTTCAGACCACAGATCTGGAAAAGGAAAATTAGAGGAAGCAAGCAAAGGACGAAAGAAAGAGACAAGCACGACGGCGCTTTACGGCTGTCGCGCTATTGTTCTCTGTGGCCCCGGCGGCCGTGGAGCCGGGAATGCTGGGAGCGGGAAACCAGGTGCGCGAGCGAGCGGACTACCGAGGCCGAGCCCGAGGAAGAAAACCGGGAGTAAGTGCAGAGCGGCGGCAGCAACGAGAGAGTGGCCCTGGGCCTTTACCCGGGCGACATTCCGCCGCTGCTCCACCTGCTTGGCGCCACTGGCGAGGTGGGAAGATTCTGATCCTGTGGCACCGCGAAGGGGCGGCCCAAGTATAAGGACTGGGCGAAGGGGAGCGTGGAGTGGCAGGACCAGCGCGTGACGGCCGGGCTGCCCGCACACCCACGGCTTCCGCGAGTGCCGGCCCCTCCACCTGACCAAGGAAAGCCACGGGCGACCGGCCGGGGGCGCCCCGGAGCAGTCAGGCCTCCAGCCGCTGCCCCTCCAAGAGCTACGAGGACAAATTGTGTTTGTTGTGCACGCATTCCTTATACTGAGTCGGTTTTGTTTTGTTTTGATCTAACAGTTTTTGATGCGGATATGTTAAAATCTACCACTGCAATTGGAACTATGTCAGATTTTTTCCTGAGATAGTATAGCCCTTGGTGGTGTTAGGTTTTCACGTGCCCTCAAGTACCCGCCTGGTCCTCAGCCAGCATTACCGTGAAGCCTGAGCCTGAGCCTCGGTGCAGAATTTAAGGGAATACCCCCGCCCCATCTGTGTAATCAAGATAAGATGTGAATGCAAAAGCCCAGTAAGACTATGGTTAATAAAATAGTACCATTTAAAATAGAAAAAAAGAAAATAGAAACAGAATCTGACCTAGCAGTTGCATCACTCACCTCACTTGTTTCACCTGAGCCTTGGCCCTGACTGGCTTTTTGGTGAAGTGATCTTTTTAAATCTTTCTTTCTTTCTTTTGTTTTGTTTTGTTTTCTTTTTTTTCTTAAGAGACAGAGTCTCACTTTGTCGCTCTCGGTACAGTGCCGTGGTGTCACAGCTCACAGCAACCTCCTGCTCTTGGGCTTAGGCGATTCTCTTGCCTCAGCCTCTTTAGTAGCTGGGACCATAGGCGCCCGCCACAACGCCCGGCTGTTTTTCTGTTGCGGTTTGGTTGGGGTCGGGTTTGAACCTGCCACCCTCGGTATATGGGGCGGGCCCCCTACTCCCTGAGCCACAGGCACCACCCTATCTTTTTTATCTTTGGGAAAGATTCCTCTGTTTCTATTACAGCTTTTTGCGTTTACCATATTTTTTTAAACATTGTTAAACTATAATTGTTACACTTATTTTTCTTCCTTTTTCACTTTGTTTTAATTCTTTTTCACTGTTTTTTATCTTTTACTGGGCAAGATAAGTTTTCCACATTTCCCTTATTAAGTTTTTTCTACTGAAAATTTAGGTTAAGTTGAGGAAGAGGTCCCTTAGGAAAATGTCTACAATATCTAACACAAGGAGACTTGTTTCTTCTTGGGACAATTTATGTGATAATATCTTACACAAATGTTTTTGATTTTTAATTGTTTGAGAAAATGTATTTTACTAATGAAAGTGATTGCCTGGCTCGGCGCCTGTGGCTCAACGGGCTAAGGCGCCAGCCATGTATACCTAAGGTGGCGGGTTCGAATCCCCAGCCGGGACCCGCCAAACAACGACAGCTGCAACCAAAAAATAGCCGGGCGTTGTGGTGGGCGCCTGTGGTCCCAGCTACT